ATATTAATTGAATGAAACGGTTCAAGGATAAAACGAATCAATTCTTCTACGTTTTTGCAGCGAGCTTTTACGCTTTCGCGATAACAGCCTGACCTTGTCCCCGTCTTATCTGTACCGGGAACTTTTTTTTTTAATTCACCCGGCGAACACGCATTAAAGAACTACTTTGTATCGAATGAATCGGTGCACGAAATGAAATCTCCTGATTTATTGAGATTTCTTTGCTTCGCTCGTTGCTATCGACGCAAGTTTCCTTCTTTAAAGCGAGCAGAATGTTGGACCTCGAGCCCCTTTTTATTCATCTCCGCGTTACATCGTGCCATTGTCGATCGATTTTATTACGAATTCCGTGAAATCGGAAACCCTTTATTTTTGACTCGATCGCGTTGACATCGATAGCTCGGAAATGTTCGCTGTTCTTTTCTAACAAACCGTATTTCCAAATGTATATCCAGTATTTTACAATTTCGAAGCGAATGTAATAACTGTTCAAAGACCTTTTACCTTCTGTAAATATCTGATCGTTTTTACTTACGTCTACGTGTAAAACAAACAGCATATTGGATTGACCTCTTGCCATACTTTTGCGAGTCTGAGTCGCGATGAGAATTTTGAGCCAAACTTGAATATCACGAGTCAGGCTCGTAGTCTTAATCTCGGGCCAAGTATGATTGTATCGAATGGTGTCTTTTTCTAAACACGGCCGCGCCTATCTTCGCACTCAGTCGCACGATCTCATGTTTCAAGTTGTGACACTCTGTCTCCGTCGCTTTGGTTCTTTTCCTGACCATTCGGGTGCAATATTTTAGCCCGGATTCTTCCGAGTTAAATGGTATGGCAAGGGGTTAATCCATCCCAAGCGGGATTTACAGCCTTTCCTTCCCGTTTGTAACTACGTTTTGTAATTGCTTGAAAATCCAACGTGTTACGGAACGCGTCGTGATCGTTATGCGTATAAAAATAACTGGATTATCCGAATGACGAAAACAAATTATGGTTGATGGTGTTGTAGATTCGCTATCGTTTTTGTAACAGATGGCGAGTTCCTCTTTGTAGCGGGCAAAACAGCTAATAAACGGTATTACGATGTTGCTGAATGGATACAGATGCGTTCGAATTATCGCGTCTCTAACTAATTTACACTTAATCGTGATCGAAGCAATAGAGGGCGAGTATTACGGTTGCTCATTATTTGTATTCCGTTTTGGTCCTGGTAATACGTGCTGGATATAATGAGCTATACAGAGATTCGCAATTACTGTAAAGTTCCAATTAATCAGCAGTCACGATGGTTGTAGATAAATATGTTAATTCTTTTTTTCGGGTTTGTTTGAGAAAGCATAAAGTAAATCTCGATCGCTGATAATTCACGCCATAATTATCTACAAGCTAATGAGCTAATTAAAAATCGTTTAAGATCAACTGGAAATTATTTATCGTATAGACAGAGCTGATTTTTCTATCGTTAATGAGATAAATCAATACGATGACTACAAAATCAACTAAAATGCTCTAAACTATATATACTGTACTAACGTATACATTTTTGGTGTTTGCGCATTCATGGAAAATATGAAAATACGCAAAATATTTCAAGTAAAATGCAATATTTGCGAGGTAAAGCAACCTTCTGTCGCTAATAATCCATGCAAGCGGTTAATGTAACTGTCGCTAACGAAATAACGTAACAAATTAAAAAACGGAACGAGCAATTGGTTGTAAACTCGGTCTCGTCGATATCCTTTTTATTAAATCGGTACTAACAAAAATTCTATATTATCGACGAAATCACTTACTATCAATACCAAGCAAAATTCAATATCAATTATTGCGCGAATGGCTAATCGTATCAATACTTCGCCGTTGAAGTTAACGCGTAACGTTACAATGGGAAAAGAGCTCGTTCCATCGAATGGAATGTTGCCCGAATAAATGAAAAACAAATTAAAAAGATATTGCGATTCTGTTGCAACGCGTTGGATAAATTTACGAACGACGTATTGAAATAACTATGAAAATATGAGAAATAGCTCGCGAATTACAGACACTCGTATACAGGTAGTATACCTATTCGTTAGGCCAGATGCTACGATATTTCCTTTATTTAGGAATATCACATATTTTCTTTTTCCTATTAATAATGAATCGTCTACTGTGTTCCTTCGTACACATACATTTTGTTCAGACACAAAATACCTGCTACATTTTACGGTATTAAATTGCTGGTGCCGGAAGCCGTCGTTGAAATCTACCGCTTTGATACCATGAGCGCTTTGATATTTAAAAACGTTGAAACACGAAACATTGAAATCTTGTAACGTTACAGATTTTTATAATTTTTCAAATATTCAAGACTTCAATTATAGTTGATATTCGAATTTAGTTTCCCCCTTTGAACCAACGAGATCTCACTTTTGCATATGAATAACGAAGTTTGAAGTAATCAACGTATCAAAAGAAATGATTTATTTTTGAATTAAGAATTCATGATGGCTCCAGGGACCTTCTCAATAGTGTCATAAACACTTTATCAAGATCTTTGGAAATTATTTTCAAAGAAGTAAATAGAAAAACTTTTTTTTCTATTATATACGGATGTTCTTTCTTTATTTTGTTGGTCGCGTTCATTTTTGTTACACCGTGTAATTTCTATTTTCACCAAGGTTTTTGCTTTGCTGGTACCGACGGTGGTTTTCTTTTTCTTCTCCGGCGGACGTGAATTAGATAGTCGCAATTAATCAGGCTCGTATCCTCCGAAGCTTGTAACTTCGGAAAATGACCATTTTGCCCCTGAACAGGCTTCTATTCGTAATTTCTGAGCAATTTTTATATGCGAGATACGATCGCGAGAAAATTACCGCCATGAATATTTAAAGGTTGGGAGGATGACCCGTGCCGAAAAAGAACGTCGAATTTTACTAAGTATACACACAGCCAATTCTTCCTTTAATATTTGAATACATTCAAGTGACCTCAAACACGACACGTCTGACTTTGAAGCGAGCTTAACTGGAATGACGATGAGCTTCACGATCTTCTGTGTTGTTCAAATGACTGACGGAAATGGACACGCCCTCGATGAAGTTTCGTGACTATCGGGTGAGTATAATCCGAAATAACGCGACTTAGGCGATCTGCTATGAACTTCGATTGATCGTAATCGTAAATGACAACACGATCTCAATTATTTTCGTGACTTTGATCGACTAAGATAAATAGTCACGCGACGTTGAAGGATCGCCAATGTATTATATTTAGCAGAATAATTTGAGAAACATTGGACGACTGTTCTTCGTTAGCTTTATGTAGTTTCTTTAACAGAGCAGATAGCGAAATCAAAGTTGTCACTAAAGCCAACTATACGATAGCTTTGGTCACGTTTCGCCATTATTATCTCGGTTCGAGAGTATTGGACACTACGCCGAAGATTCAGCGATTATTATGTTGATAATTAATTATAATAAAATCAAATATTTGCGACCGAAAGTGGGTGTCTTTCTGTCGATTTAGACATTATGTTCCTCGTTCCATATATCCTCCAACATATTACACGTAGATCCGGTTTCCAGGATTTCCGGATAAATTAATTAACCTAGTTTAACAAATGCCGACGCCACACCTGCGACTTTTAACTTTTCACTCAGCGGCAGCATTGAATTTTCCTCCGTTATTCCTGTTGCTAAATCGAGTGCGGAATTTGGTTCCACGTCTGTTTGTTTTGCTGAGAACTCCACTTTATACCAAGTTGTTACACGGAGCTTAGCTACGTTCAATTACATTCAACCAAACCACCAGGAATATCATTCGAGCAACATACTTCGCTTTCAAAGCATCGCGATTCTCCGTTGACACGGTTAAATAATCGAACTTTTCACGACAGAGCTCCATTGTAGCTGGATCACGACACCGCGTATCTTTCGCGCGAGCTTCGGTCCGTCGCATTCGACGTGGTCTGCTTTCCCTGATCCGCGCACACCAACGAACCACAAATCAATTAGTACGTTTAATTAGACGTTCTTGCGCCTCGTACCCTCTACAGGCGGAATATTTATCTCCGCGGTAAAATCTGTGGGCGGTAAATAAGCTGTCTGGTAATTTTCTCACGTCGATATCGAAAGTTTCTTGATAATATCCAACGGCGATTCTGATGTCACAGCTACTTTAAAACGCGTATTCGCGTCGCGGTATCTTCAGCTGTAAATTTGTGTTACATATTTTCATAAATTCATGTCACATAAATTCAGCGATGGCTCGGGTCACCATCGTAACTTTCGATATCTACGATATGGAAGGAATATGTATTTATTAGTTTCTAGAATCGACGTATTTGCATTTTCCTATGTTATTTTAGAATCGACAGAATGCTGGACGTTTAATTCATATTTAAACGCTTTGACGTTTCTCGATCAATGGCGATACACGTACGGCGATTACAAGAAATGCCGACAAATACAATTTATTTTTATTTGCTGAATAATCAGGAACATTGTAGAAACTAGTCGTTTTAAAAGCATGCCACGTCACGGTATTTCGAAATACAATCACATAAAATTCTCTCCTCGACGGCCAAACGACAATTGGATTCGAGCTACTCGCGAATACCGTGACACGAGAGCATCGTATCGATCATTTAGCTCCTCTGCTTTTGACTCGCCATTTTATGGGTTATGTTGGCGAAAGATCCACGCTATCGGATGTGTCCCATCAGCGCAATTGGGTTCCGCTCGCTATAATCGAGGAGACCCAAAACCTCCACGAAAGCCACCGTAATGGTAGATCGATATACTTTTAATGGAGATCCTCCACTTCGATAGTCGCCCCTGACAATTCGACGATTCTACTTTTGACTCGTTTCGTTCCAGTTGGACTGGAATGTCGAATGAGGGTACACTCGAGCCAGAACGAGTTGTACTTGAGACGTATTAATCCGAGTTCGTCGATCTAATACGAATTTTATTTCTTTGCGACGCTGTAAAGAAGGGAATGAAAAATAGGATAGGACTGTTAAATTGTGTTTCGTTCAGAGCTAATCAGTAAATTCCTTGGTAAGGGAAACTTTATTCCCCGAGTAATTAACTTCTCTCGCGTTGCAGACTACCGAGCTTATCTTTCAGTCAACTGGTTGGTATGATGAAAATGTAGATGATACCGTAAAGCCTCGATAGTTTACAAACGCAACTATCTTCTAACAAGATTTACATTATGTAAAATCGCAAGTGACAAATATATATGGAATATATGTATGGAAATAGTTATGGAAATGATCACTTTCCTATGGCTTTGCCAAGCAGGTAGGGTCGAGGGTCAGATGTGGCCCGTAGTTTGTCATCGCTATTTTAGATGTTAGAATAGCAAAGGCTAGGTTGGAAATTGTATATCTAGGAAGAGATAGCAGAATGAGTGCTTGCTATGAGAACTATTTTCTGTGAAAATTACTTCGGTAGTTAGTAGGAAAATACCGTCTTTCTACGTTTTCTCTTTCTTTTCTTCCGTCAAAATCGCGGTTCTTCTCGCGGAAGACGAGACACGGAGAAGTAGAAAACCGGATCTTATTTGCTATGTTCGACGGTGATCATTGGTCGTGACATTGGCTCCTTTAGGAGGCTCTCGCTCGGAACGGAAACGAGGTAAAAGGTCGGCGTAACGTGGAAATTGTGTGTTAATAGAATCGCGAGCCGGACATTATCGAATTGGTGTTCTCGTTGCGAGAGCTCCGTTTCCTCGATGCTTACATGTTCGAGTTTAACCAGTAAACGACGTCGCTTTGTTAATTCCTCAATTTCGCGATCGTTTCTTCGTTAAACAGCGACCTTTTCGGTGGCTATAGGATCTTGGTGATTTTTAATTTCGCGATTTCATCGATCGTAGATTACAGATTGTGTTCGATTGACTCGCGATCTTGTTAGCGAGTCTCGAATGAATCATTGGCAAACGTGATTTCCTTCGCGCGATTTTTATTCCTATCACGTTCAAGTATATTTTTCATGGAATCGTACCACGCAACGCCATTTCTATTCAGATCGGAGCTGCCATTTTATGGCATTTCGCGTTTCACAAAATATATGATGAAATTATATTATTATTGTACTATAAAGCTTGTTATTTTTTAGTCGTTTTAATTTCTGATGATTGAGAAATCGATTAGACTTGTTCTCTCCATGTTTCAAATTCTACCTGTTTGACGCAATCGCTTTAAAGGTTACCAGTTTACCAGAGTTTCTCGGGTCAAGGTTATCCTAGCATGATAATGAGTCTTACGGTTTAACACGCCGTGTAATTAATTTCTTCGAGCATTTTTCGGTAGTTCCGAGAACGAGAGTTCATTCCTTTTAAACTTTCTTCGTATTCCTTACAGTATTACCATATTGTAAACATTAAGATAAAACGAATGTAGTAGCACAGCGAGTAGTAGCTGTAACACAATCTGTTAGCCAAATTTTACGATGCAAATGTACTCGAATATCATATACACCCTCTTCGCACTGGAAAGCAGATGGTAGACGGGAGCTCGTAACGCGGAGCTGGCTAACGACGATAACAGTAAGAAACAGCCAATTCCAGTGAAAGCGTAGATCGTGTGAGATACAGAAAATTTGATCGCCAGTGTCGCCTATTAGTCTGATCACACCATGCTTCTTTTCGTCTTTGATGCCTCCTCCGTGTCTTTCCGCGATTTCTCGAGCGATCGGGCAATGGGCGTGGCCGTGATCGTAAATCGTTAGGGAAACCGCGGGAATCATCCGTTTCGAACCATCGTCGACGATATTAATCGGCAGACGTTGTAGAAAGGATCGCGTGCTTACCTGTCTTGCGTGTCGGTAGGCTGTAGCTGTGGCAACGATTGGGTCTGCTGTAACCTTTGAGCTCGATTCTCCAACGCGTGTGTTGTTTCCTTTTTGCACGGATCTCGCACTGCAGACTCTGCGATCGTTTCCACGACGTGCCTTTTCTTCTCCATCTGCGACAGGATAATGGAAATTGCTTTTAGATCGCGTAGATTGGGTAATTGAATTCGGAAGAGTGGGCAGATGGGTAGTTCTTGTCGTAGATTGATAATTTGATTCCGTTTAATATAACGTTTTCGGTATCCTCGCTTCGTTACTTCGATATTTGCTTCGAGGATACTGCGGTTGGTGGATCGTGGTTGTTCGTACATTTGCAGGAAGAATTAAACGTGTGAAAATGCACGTTATACGTGAAAATATACAATATATATAACGTAATCGTCGATTATAACGTTTAGATTATAACGATTCAGATTATAACGTTCGATTATAACGGCGAGACAAATACGTATTTCAATTGCACTGTTTTGAATTTTCTTTGAACTGCTTTTTCAATGAATTTGCATAAACAGTTCGGTCTAGTGATTGGTATGAGCATCGCAGTAATGCTATATGTAATTTGAAGATGTAATTATTTAGAAATGAATTTGAAATTTGAAATTGAAACGACGATTTATCTCGAATATATATTTCCGTTTGTCACTGTGAATGATTCGACCATGCTGTATCAGAAATGTGACTCGATTTTCAATCTGTACGTGTCCGTAATGGTTTCCGAATGTCTTCGATCCGATTTGAACGATCTTAGGACCACGTTCGAATGATTTTTGAACGATAGGTTTTCGAATATCTTCGAATCAAAGAATTCAAAAGCTAGCAAGTTATTACCGTATGGTGTTTCTCATTTATGAAATGGTTTCTGTACCGTAATGGGGTAAAGAGACACCCGATGTTCCACAGAATCCGACGACAGCTCCGTGATTTCTGCTTCCACGTGTCTCTCGTTCTCAGCCATATTTCCGTTCTCTTCTTGGCCACAGAGGCCTAGCAAACAATGAAAGACCACGCACAAAACTTACGAATCGTTGTTCGCTCGACACTCGACAAAATTGTTTAACCGAACACACGATTTTCCACGTTCATCGATTATCACGCGCTTATCTCATTATTCTGATATATCAAATTGTTCTTTGATTATCGAATGGAGACTCTGGTAGCGAAAACCTTAGGAACCGTGGTTCAAGTTCGAGGATAAACGAACCTGTGTCATGGACACCGAACGAATCGATTGTTTCAATTAGTCGATTGAATGCAGGGTAATCTAAGAAGGGCAAATATATACTTTCGTTGAAAGGAAACCGTCAACCGTTGTCGAAAGAAAACCGTCAATCGTTGTCGAAAGAATCAGGAGAGAGAAGGTATGGCGTTTGGTGTATTAACGTTCGGACTATCAAACAAACTGACCGATGTCGCGTCTCTTGTTTTCGCAAACTGTTAAAAAGGAGCAATTTACGAAAATGCCCGCAAACAGTATGGGAATGGATGACGGCGAACGTCAGTGAGGACGCATCTTTATAAATTCGACGGAATTTTCTCTGAAACAAGTTTCCCTATCTGTGGCTCGGTATGAAACGACTAGTCACGAGTCACCAGAGGATGGTTCCCCGCTTGTAGAGTAAAATTTCCCTAATCGTCGATAAGAAGTTTCGCCGAGAAGAGTCGATCGTTGGGTAGTAGCACTCGCCGAAACGGATCACCTTGTTCTGATAAATCTGATATCGTTTGGATCGGGCGTATCTTTTAAAAAACTTGCTGCACCAAACAAACTCTTTTTAAGAGACGTTCCATCTTGCATTTCTCCATTTGACTGGAAACCCACGAGTATCATACGTTCTCGTTGAAATATCGTCAAGCCGTACGAGAAATTTATGTGACCAGAAGAATAATTTGTTCCAATGGAACCATTCTAAGGATGTCTAATATTCTGCCGAGATCGGTGTGCTTTTTGTATCCACGGAAGTTGGGTTTCGCCTGAGGACGGCCATTCGATATCGTGTCCTGGCAAGCCCTTCCTCGTCCATTCTCAACATAATCAAAGCGTGTCACATGCTATCTGCAATATCTCTTGCTCCATCATCATAGCGTTGATCTTTCGAATTAATTTGACGTAATTCCTATTTAATGGAATTCCTAATATAGAGCACGAGGGATGATACATTGGAATAATAATGAATTGGGGACTTCGTGTCGTAGAAGTATCCGGTTCTATGGGTAAAATGGATAAAATGGTTGAAAAAAGCTTTCGATAAGCTTCGATAATATTCGACGCTTTCTCGGAGGCCTCCCGAGCCCCTCTCGTTTCAACTCGTGCTTAGAGGAAAGTAGCCTCTGTCTCTCATTGAAAACTCTTCGGGGATGGTCTTGCTTGCGTCATCTGTATCCTTTATTCGGCACGATCAAAAGCGAGTATGGAACACCGCGAGTGGTTCTTTGTTATCTCTAGTCCCTCCACATAATTTCGTAAATGCTTAAACGCGTATTTGAGAGATAATTGAAAAATCGCGGAGAAAAATTCTTTGCCGCTCGTAGTTTTTAGAAATCCTCAGAGACGCTATCCTCTGGGAACGTTGTGAGGAAGAACAACGCGTTGTTACGGTTATGATCCGTCTACAAAGAGTTTTCGTATGTCGCAAAAAATCTTCCGTTTGAAATCAAAGCGGACTGTTCACGCACTTTCTCTGAAAATAATGTGACTAACGCGATAGTCCGGCAGAAAGTTCTTCGTATATTTTTCTGCGTGCCACCTTCGTCGTTTATTTAACGTCTATGAAAACGCATTGACTACTCGCGTAGTGTCCTTGCGTAAACTTAAATCGAGCTAAATACGATTTGCTTGGGAACTCGAAGGTTTTTGGGTAACGTGCCAAAACTTGTAGAGTTTATTTGATAGCTTTCGTTTGAGTGTTTATTTCATTCAATTATGTGATTCTTTAGCGATAGAAGGATGAATCGGGTCAAAATACAAAAGTAGGAGGAGTATAAACAGGATTTTCAAAGTAGAAAAAGAGAAGATAAACTGTTGATCGATTTCACGATATTTGAATCATTCGACTTCTTAATCATCGAGATTTCGATTCCCTTTTACCAGCGAAAGTGGTTAAAACATTTTAGAACGTTACGAAAAGAACAACGTGAATTGCCATCAAGTCAGTCTATCGCTTTAAGGTCAGCGGTTCGTCCGTTGCTCTCGATTTACATAGAACACGCTGTAAAGCCTCGAAAGAACGTTTTAAGTCTGGCATAATGTTGAATTCTCGGCGAATCATGCCGGGTAATCCATTGCGAATTTCTTCACGCCCCGTCAAGTCTCAGAAGAACCGTGAAATTGAACGTAGTACGTCAAGCTTCTCTGATATTCTCTTTATATGTTTCAACTCTTTCTGCTCGCGTTTATACTAGTACGATTATCTCTATGTTCTGTCTATATTCATTCTTGCATGGAACTCCGCTTTTTCCAATTTCAATTTGCTACGATTTCGTTCCAGTTATCTCCGAACGGTTTTAAATGCTTTGCGTCACAAATAAATTGGATGTTTAAGTAAATTTGTATTTTTACGAATTAAGCTAGAGAAGTGAAAAGTAAAAAAGATACAGTTTAAATATCTATTGTTAGAAGAACTTTGATCCAGTCGTTTCATATATCTTTATATATCATGTGCATTCCGTGTATTTTTCGCATTTTGTATGCCCCGTTGTCGTGACAACGAAACTGAAGCATTCCAATCCTTTTTCACGGATTTGTACGAAGAATTTCCCATACAAATCTCAACGAAAGACACCGCGTTTCGGTGGAATGCAACAAAAAGGTGACGAGTTCTAACTCGAGCCTTTCTTTCCAGGAATCCTCGATCTCTAGATTGCTCTTTCTTATTGTATTCAAACAAAACTCGCTATACATTTGCATCCAAACTCATAAATGCTGCTTTCCAAAGCGGATCAAAGCGTAAGAAATATCTAGTATTATTTTGCAGCGATACGTTTCTGGAAATTTCACATTGTTGTTACACATTGTTTTATTTGCCTCGTTTTATTGGAAATTTCAGTTTTACGAAATACGAAAGTCATCGAACACTTGTAGATACCTTTGGTGAATATGTTATGTGCAATATACGAATATTTAGAAATTTCGTTAGTACTATTACTCGCGACTGTCATGACTATATTTATCAAACTCGATCAATCTGCAAAATTTACATAGAAGCCACAAGATATTCGATGCGAATATATGATGTGGAAAACAATAGTTCGACCTTCTGTCTGTGCTTCTATCTCGCTAATGAAAAAGATGTGAAAAATAAGGATGGAAACAGAGCGCTCTTTCAATTGGCCACGGATGTAAATCTATCGAGACAGAGTCATGGCAATTGGAATTCTCCCGCATTGCTGGGAGTACCTTGCGGTTTTACCGATTTAATCGTCGTTTTCGTTCTCGTTCGCCTCCCTTTATTCATCCTGGAACGCCATTTCGTGCCGAAAAATTGTGTATTAAAAATAAAGGGAACAAATGAAACGAAGTGGACGATTCAGTGACAAAGCTATCCAACGATCTTTGATACGGAATATAGAGAACCTCGGATTAGTTGCCACTTTTGTAGACACATTGTTCCATTGATTGAGTTATTCGACGCTTTGTGTATCACTGGATTACTCCTCGAAAGTTGTTTTTACAACGGAAAAAACTACCAACTACACGGATTCTCGTGTTTTAGTATGTTATTTAGAAAATAAATAATGAAGTATTTCTGGAAGCTTTTGTTTCTTCGATTAAATATCAGAACGAGTGCTACTTCTTCGGATATTTTGTTCGAAGATCATAGAAGAAGAAGATAATAAATTACATTTTCATACTCCCGTCTAGTCATCAAGTACAATAGCACAAATACGATAATACAAATTCATACATTTTTGCGTATTACGCGAGTTCATCGCATTTTCATAGCTCTTAATTTTTCATAAGTACATAAAGATGCACAGTCTAACAATACAAATATTATAATTAAATAGAATTACCCGTATATAAAGCGGTTGGGATGGAAACGAGGTTCGAATTGTTTCAGTCAACGAGTAGAATATTTGATCGTTCGCGCGAATTTAACCTATTTTTTTAACATCCTACAATTTCCTTGATCAAATGTTGGACGATTGTGCCGCGCACTTTTTACGTTCGTATAAAGTTTCGTTGATTCTCGCTCTCTAACCAACGAACAACGATGGGAGAATGTGATGGAAGGTCCGATGGAAGGCAAGACAAGTCTCGGTCATTAAAGAGAGCCATCAATCAGGCTCGAGAAATTAGCTGGAAGACAGGAAAGTATATAACGCGAAAAGCTGATCCAGTCTATTTTTGTGCCACTGCTTAGCACGTGTCTCGTAAAAGCATCACGAATTTTCGAGGATTTCCACTTTATTCCTCTATGAAATGTGAATGTGATACACGTGCAGTCGCGTACACGCTGGTCCTTGTATATCTTAGGGAAACGAAGAAAAGATTCTAGTCTAGAAAGGAAAACAGCGAAAACGCGTGGGCGTGGAGATAAAAAGTATCGACGCGCGTTCAACGAGATAAGGATCGTTAAACTAGAAAAATTGTTTTACGGCGAGTGTACATGATTCGTAGATAGAATTCTTTCTTCGAGAATTTGAGAAAGAAGATGAAAAGAAAAGATTTTAGATTTCCTCGGCCTATGGATGTCAGAAATGCTTCTAATCCGTGAAAATTTATATAAACAATTTGAATATTGTCTAATTTGTTGGAGATATAGCGTACGGTAATTGGTAATTACCGTGCGTGTACCTTTGGTTTTCTTTTAACTGAAGCATAGCACTAAAAAGTATAAAGATATAATGGTCACGTAAATGTACAATCAAAAGTTTGGAATCACTGTTCTACAGAACTGTAAGTTCTCAAAGAAAAGTTAAGTTACAGTTTTGTTACCTTAGAAAGTTCTTTAACCGAATATCTATTTGAAACGTTAAAAACAATTATTTTTTCGTACCTGTGACAATTTCGTTTCTGAAGAGGTTAAACGCAACGCGTGTGCCATTTGTCATTTGAAAACGAGCAGATGATCGTTACGTAAATCGTCCAGGTACATTCGATCGGTTACAGACCGTTGGTTATCACACTGGAAGTACTTTGCGTAAGATCACGTAATACTAGCAGCCGTAATCGGACACAAAGCCTATCTTGATTAACCGATTGTCAGGTAAACACGGTTCCGTACTCCATATCCGTTAATTATCCACCGGTGTCTCTCAGAGGCTCAGTCGAGTAATTAAACCATAATTATGAGGTAACAGATTTTTCGACGATCCTAATTGTCACAATCGATGCATTATGTAAGGCAAAACATAGTCACCGTGATAAACGGCCAAGGTCTCCGATATGGAGTTACAATTTAATCGAGTTTGTATCGGAGAACTATCGATTATTAGATGCTCGTTAAAATACGAGGTCCTCTTTCGCTCCTTTTTCTGTTTGTACCTTTCGCTGTTCGATTCCGGCGAAAAAGTTGCCGTGTTGTTTTTCCCGCTGTGACTCCAGCATCACAGACTTCGCTTAACGAACCTCTACCTCTCGAGGAGAAACACGTTTCATAAAATTCTTTTATCGAAGCATCCTGGTGAGTGGAAGACGAAAAGCACTCGCTGATAGATTAGTTGCGAAAATATTGTTCGCGCAACAGGATTGCATTCTGTTCTTCAAGTATAGCGTAGTTAAGAAAATTTCACGTAGATCTAACAATTTGGAAAGTGGATTCTAAGAATAACTGCTATGCAATTTACTATTTTCCATACAACGCACATATATTATGATATTTCAATTCACAAACGATCTTTTTATCTACTTTTCTGAGATTCAGGCTATCGTATAAGATACGTACAATTCTGCATGTTAATCAAATCAAAAAGACAATTATCTTGTATCTTTTTTTTTTTTTTTTTTTTGAGAAATGTAATATATCTATGTAACCATTGAATATTATGAGCTATTCATGAAACGATATCATACACTCAGGATTATTTGTTCGCAAGTATCTTTGTTATATCTTTCGAAATCATGCTTGAAGTTGAAGAAGAGCTAAATGTACACGTATTTCTCGATATACCTCGAAAGTATGATTTACAATTTCATTATACCTCTTCCATTAACTATACATTTTTTACCTTAAAGAAACTTTGTCCTCCTGTCGGAATACAGATAAACCACCATTACGAACAGAACAAACTTGCTCTCTGATTCAAATTCTAAATAGGAATACCGAATGTAGGTCTGTAATCCAGATCTGTCTAACACGTAGCTTGAACTTAGACTACATTTCGTTTGCATTCAATATCGTGGCTGATGAGTCGTCAACTTTGACGGCTAGAACTTTCTCGTTAGTTACCTCAGGCCGATCCTTGCAATTTACGTAGATGTTCTCGTTACGCGAAGTTGAGTCGACGATAACACATCAACCAGTTGACGACAATGGTCGAATGTTCACGAAGGTGCCTAAAACGCGTTGAATTTACGACGGAAGTTGGCTTAATCAATTCCTCGCGAATAGAATGAGCTGTCGCGCGCGAGAACGCCCACGAAATTTTCAACGTATAATCCTTACGCGAGAGATTTCGTAATTCCGTTGCATTACGCTGGATCGTGGCAGCCGACAGTCCCGCTATTTTTCCAAGGGATTAAAACGATTTAGGCTGATGATCAAACCCGTTAATAATTCAAGCGCACGACCCTCGAGCTCGCTATTAGTTAAAAAACGTCCTCTCGATGATTAACGACCGATACAGTACAGAATTGGGTCGAAAAATTTTCTGTACTTTTTTTTGGTCATTGAAAGGAAAGAAATAAATTTAAATATAATTTCTATTAATTAGTTTTTAATGCAATTTTCGATATTCATTTATCTGATGATCCATTTAAACTATCTACCGATTGTTTCATTTTTATTATGAAATTATACTTTATCTGTAGTGGGATTATACGGGTTTTAGATTCGGTGTATCGACTATTTTTCCTGTATGAAGGTTTTATAAAGATTTAAACGAACTACCGAGCGACTGTGAAAGTTGCCATCGCTATAAATATTATCATCTAACACTTGTACGAAATAAATCTCTAACGGTGCATTTTGTAATGTTTCGAATAATTCATCGATCAAGTTTTCAACAGTAGATAATTTTTCAAGTAATATTACACCACTTTTTTACAGACTTTCATTATTACAAAATATATTTTTGCCCATCTCGCATCATTTTATATTCTCTCTCTTATCATGCTTCGAAAAGGTTATTCTTTTTCTGGTTCAAATATACGTACATTTCAACTAAGACTTATGATTTATGGAAATCCCTGAATAAAATTGCGAATATATAAATCTGATGACAAAACTTTCCGACTAACTTAACACAAACATACATTAGCGTTATATAGCGATAAATCGGTGAAATTCTACGCAATTAGCGATTAGCTGGACGATTAGATCTCTTATTTAATCTTCGATGCGTTCACGTGCTTCTCTAACTAAACTGTCGATGGTCTTGTTGACTTTAGAATGTAAGGTGAACTCTCAGGAGAATTTCCCTGATCTCCAGAGATTAGAAAGCATAATTAATTGCGAATTAATTCGAAGACACGCGTCGCGAGATTAACGGTGAATCGAATTCAGACAGCAGAGACCATCGCGTCTCTCTTATGGTTGATTCGGTGAATTATTCGTTTCTCTAACGGCGAGCTATCAGACAAATAAATTTCTAAAGCAGGGCAGACTTCGCCTACTCGGTTTTTGGGCCGTCTTAAAATTCCATAAGCCATGGTATCCTGTTTGCTCATACATTTTTCATGAGCGTGTTTGCGCAAGAACAGTGAGATGCTTCCTGATACATCGAACGACGTCATGAGTCAGGATTATCGATACCAGAGTGCACTTTGCATACGTAAAATCGCTTTCACGTTTTCCTTGCGCGGTTTGCATCGTCGAGCTATAACTATACACGATGTATTTATTGACCAGGGAACGAATACAAACAGCGTACGGCATAACTCAATTTATCTGAACTCATTCGGAGACAAACAGTTTGTATAACTGGAATTTGTATAATAAGAGTTCACCGAGTTTCACACTAGCGAAGTATTTGGACACCTGGTGTAATTTGATCATGAAGTTGATATTTTTATTATATTTGCAATGTTGCGATGGAAGAATTCCGTTGCCTGTTCTTTGCCTCTTTCTACAGACGCGATCAAACGCTCTGTCAGGTTTAAACCGAAAGAAGCAATTCAGCAGACACGCGCAACAATAACTTTAATTCGCGTGTCTCCACAAGACAAATTTTCACGCACTTTCGATTATATACTGTGACAAAAATAAGCATTGTCGTACCCTTTAAAATGGAATAACTTTTGTAAAATTGGACCAAACGATCTGATTGTTGTGAAGGATAGAAGGTTTAATTTGTTGGATGATATACATAAATAATTAAAAAAAAAAAAAAAAAAATGATCAGAATAGCGAAAGAGATCTGAAAGTCAATCAACCCTTAATATCCTTTTCATCTGAGCTTGCAATGAAGACTCAAAAAGTTCGTCTTGTGGATCTGTGTCAGTCATACACGCGCTGAAAATTTGATCGAAATAAATCAATGTTGTTATGAGTTGCTGCGAACGGTTTAAAGTGGTCAAAATCACAGTTTTTTTACTAGACTTTCGGTCTATGGTTCTACGACTATAATAAATCTAAATCTTTCGATACCTGTCGTTCGTTTCTGTACCAACTGATTTTGATAGAATATTAAGCATGTAACATAAATCTACACGACGTATTTTCTAAATTTTCATTCAGGTTCAGTTAAAAAAAGTTATAAAAAGTTCTAACTTCTAAAAAAAAAAAAAACATTAAGTCGCTTTAAAAAAGTTACTCCATCTTAAAGAATATACCGATATTTATGTTCGACAATGTAGGAATTATTCAACATTTAGGAAGTACACGGTTGCCTGGGATAAGTTTACAGGACTAAATTAAATTACAGAGTTTCGTTTGAAGTATATTTTGTGTATTTACAATAATTTGAAAGCGTATGTATTCGTTCATGTAATAGAAGTTCAGGTTCAGTTAAGCAGGCTCAAATAGTAGGAAGCCATTTAATCGGACGCGAATTAAACTTTCGTTCGGAAAAATGGAGTTCAGATAAATAAAGTCCTACCGTACCGATCATTGGTAGTTTATACCGATCTTCGAATCGTCAAAAGCTTGCTCTTCGTTTAAATCGTTCAATTTTTATCGAAAATTTTCCTTACAACGTGATTAAATTAGCTCCTATTCTTTTTTTCTTCTTTTGTTATAGCAAATCAATCGAATGGCTCGCCTAACTAAGGATTCGCGTTCCATTATCGCGATATCATTTACAAAATGGAATAATCCGTTATCAAGTTTGACAAGCGAAAGGGGCTCGAACAACGCGGCGAATAATGAAAACGCCGCGGGAATTAAATGGGAAATTACCTGTCCTTTCGGTTATACCGTTGCGAGCGCGGAAAAAGTACGTCCAAATATATCTTTTAACTACTTCTAGTACTTCCAAAATCTGTTTCAACAGCAGATTTCTATTACGAGGTGGGAATTCTGGTTTTTGGATTTTGACTTCTCACGAACAAGACCATGTCGGTTTATTTTACTTACGAGCACTGTTTACACCGCGCCACTAGTTGCTAGATCACTGACGCTACACTGTAAACAAACCATCTATCGAATACCGCGATCTTTATTACATCGGTTCTCGATCATCCATCTTACGTATCGATCACTTTCTCGAAAGATTGTCTCACAACTTTTCAACTCTTCGAAACATCGTTCCCGCAAAACCTTGAAACGTAAGCCTTTCACGAATAAGTTACGAATTTCGAACCCTAATTCGATCGTTGTTCTTTGTTCATTTCTGTTGTCGCTTCTAATTTTTGTTCTACGTAGAACTTTGGAAAGGTTCGATAACGAGTAATTAACGAAAAACTCGAGCGATTCTATGGGATATATCCTGAACGTTCATTGATTTGGCGCAGTTTATGATTCGCGATTGACGTGGTTGATGGAATTTTACGAGGCTGGTTGTTTTTATTTGTCCGCGAAGCGCGGTTTTTTCGCCAGGGCCGCGAACAAGTGGTAAAGCTCGGCGTTACGCCCGACGTCCGAAGTCCAGCACGGCTCGCCGACTACTGAGCCATTCGACGCAGGCGTCGAGGCGCCTGGTCCCTTCACGCGATCTCCTGCTCACTTTCTCACCGAATAGCTCTTTTTCAAACTACCTGTTTACCAGTTGCGCCAATTTTACACCAACTCTAAATGTTATTCGGAAAGTCTAATTGGTTACGGTACATTTAATTATCTTTTCGTTGGATGGACAAACGATTTTTTTCTCTTTCACCAAAGAGAATGTATTTTTGATCAGATAACGAATTTATCAAGCGCGAATCATCATCAACGATCATAATCGCTTGAGTGATCAGCCCGTGGAGGAAAATGAAACACCAGCGTGTTACGGAAATCACGTTACAGAAATTACAATGACGAATTATGCGTGGCGTATCTCCAAATAAAGCATACACGATTAAACTTCTAATTATTGTAACTGAAGTTATTCAGCCGTGATGTACGTCATTTAAAATTCGCTTGTTTTCATGTTTTTTTAACGAACAATATTTATTTATCTCGACTTTACTTTTTCCCCGTTGGAATAGTACGATTTATGAATAAGAATGAGTAGCTATTTTGTAAACTTTTTAAATTTTCCAATTTTGTAACGATCACTTAAGAAACAAAAATTCTTTCAAACATTTTTTTATCGGAAATCTTTTCTCTCCGACTTCCTACTTTCATTTTCTGTGTTTTATTCGTTATTGGTGATATCACGGTCGATCGTATCGAATAATTCAGTTGGTCAGAATAAACGTCCTGCACGAAAGTACCGCGTGGCAATCCGACATGGCGATCGGAAAAAGCAATTGCCAAACAACAATTCCAGGTCAAACAACCAAACTTCCTAGTATCGTGAATAATTTCACTCGATATAAAAATATCGTCGTACCGCATATTACGCAGAGCCGTACTACACGTACATACTTCTCATCCCATTCGAAACGTGTTTCTTCAAGGTAATTCGCATTCACCAAACTTATCCACTTTCACCGTTTTGACCATTCTCGTTCCGATCTGCATTTCGTATTCTTTGCTCGGGATTCTTCGATGATGATTTCGAGATTTCAACCTTGACGAGGCTGCCAGGGAGTTCGAGGTCGCGTGCGTAGAAATCGTATCATTTCAGTCAGCCGAGAATACCACGCGAGTAGGTAGGTTCTCATCCAGCTCTTTTCCCCAGATTCCTGCCGTCTTCGACTCTGCTCAATGTTTTCACCCTCCGCAACCTTCTGCGTGATTATCGATTCTCCGGTTCGTGTATAGCACTCGCCTGTGTGTCTTTAAGGATATAGCGAGAGAATCCAGCCACGTTTCAGTGAGAATTATCGTAGAGTTAAATTATTTAACGATAAAATGGAAATGAATGATCAAAATTCTACGTGTAACTTAAGGGATCCTCCCGAAGTGGCGCCTGAAAAAAAACCAATCTTTTTTACCTTTTTCCTTTTCCCTACATTCCGAATCAAACTACCGATTTTTCTAAACGCATTTCCCAAATCCCATATCATCTAAGACATCACGCGTCCCGATTAAACTAAAGAAAAAAAAATATATATTTTTTTAAGCGAAAAAATATGCGTATTTATCCCACAGGCGAAAATCGTTATTCCACAAAATGAAATTTATTTGTCAGAAATTTTTCTGGCAATTTTGAGAATTACGTTTTAAAATTTCATGGACATATTTTCCAGATGCTACGCTATCAGAAAATTCAAAAAACCATCGATTTGTCCAATTCGGTGTACCAGTAAAACTTCTTAACATTTTTGTCTGCATTTTTCGTCATATGGTTGTGAATTAAAAGACTCGTGGAGCGTTATTCGATCGTGAACGTTATTCTGTGAAATTATTTTCGATTTCACAGAAAAACCAGTCCTCGAGGAGGAATTCAGGTTTGGAACGGCGATAAGCTCGATCAATTTGTGCGACATGCATTATTCATTAACCGCGAACCAATGTAAGTCTGGAGAGCGTGTGAGCAAACGAGAGCACGATCAAAGGTCATCGTATAATTAGCGTGGATATTGATATAGAGACGTAAAACGCCTGTTTGCTATCAAAGGTATTAAGCGCGAGAAGCATAGAAAAATTTCACTAAAATACAATCGATCGCTGTTGATATGCAATTATATTTCAATTCATAAGCTCTTCGAGAGATTCCTCGAATTTCTCGCAATAACGGAACCGTGGAATCATGTAGCAAGTCAAACGTTACAAACGGATGTCACAGGTTGCATTGTTGCGGCAGATAAGCGTACCATATTTGATTGACGCGGCGTTTGCTGCAAGGCGACTCGTGTTCTCTAATTGACAAGATCCCGGAGCTTCGAGCCGAAGTAGCTGTCACGGCGCGTTTGTTTCGAACACTAAAACGCGTTAATTTATCAGCGTCAAAGACGCGGAAGGCAATTTGAGAATCGCCTCGTCTATTTTTCAAGAAAATACGTAAGAGAATAATTGGACGATGTTCTGTAAAAACCTACCAATCCTCGATGATGTAAAATTAAGAAAATTTAGATTGAACATATTAATTAAAAAATAAAAAATAAAAAAGAGAAGGTAATGCAATTGGCCCCATAAAGCCAATTCTACTTAAGAAGATTAAGAATCGTTCAATATGACCGAGTCGTGTTATTCTTGGAATTTGGAGGGAAAAATTAAATCAGAGAATTAATTCACCATCTGCTTCGTTTTTCAATGTTCTTCGGAGGTTCAAAGATAGATATTTGATGGATTACAGAGAAATTTTGTAAGATAGATATTTCATGTATAAGCTTGTAAAAGGAGGAATGACATTGGAGGAGAGTTGCTGAGGAAGAGGAAGGTCCCGGATGACTAATAGCTATCGCATGAAACATTTAGAAAAGAAATGACTCTTCAAGGATACTGACATTTATAATACATAATCATAATTGTGGCGCATGATGTCGCGGTAGGCTGGTATCTAACGCTGGTTATTTTGTAATTCGCGATGTTAACGATATCACTACAACTTTTTAAAGGTTTTAGTTAAAACAAAAAAAAAAAAAAAAAAAAAAAAAAAAGGAAAAAAACAAAAAAAAAAAAAAAAAAAGGAAGAGGAAAGAAAACGTAAAACATTTTTGACAATCGATATAAACGTAATATATATTACGAGATCGCTTTAAGAAACCTTTTTAAGGCGAAACAAACACAAAATGTCTTAGCCTAAACTGAAAAACACCGGAGAGTCTCTGTTCTTATCGTGTCACCAATAAAATGTTATCGATATGTAATAAAGAAAATTATGTATACGAATGTATAGAATAAGAAGTATGAAAAAGTACGAAACTTTATCAGATTGTCAGAGCAGAAAGTGCTTTACAAACTTTTTAAAGGTTTTAGTTAAAAAAAAAAAAAAAAAAAAAAAAAAAGAAGCAAAATTTGTCGATATCTAATCAAAACTAGATAAGTTCGATAAAATTTCCGGGAGATGTTCCGACGACGGTCATAGCTTTCATTTCGCGGCAAGTTTTAAGAAAGACGCGCGGATGCGACCACGTTACGGCTAGAAACTTGGATCGAACAGCGAACTTGCTTGACGTCGATTTCCTGGGAGTTTCGACGTGAACGATTTCTTGGAAATTCTGGCATTCATTTGTTCGCGTGTCCGATATTTCATTATCGAGTACTACTCTCGCTGCGGGATCGTAAACCTCGAAGCTCGATACACCGACTTGTGTGAATGGCTCGCGGCTTCCGAGATTGTCAAACTTCTCCGGATACAATCTGTACATAGTGTGCAGGTACGTCGGTCGTGTTTTCATCGGAATCGATTCAACTACAAAACTCGCCCGCCAGGCTACCAACGTCCGGGAAGACGAACAATAACGATGCAAACGATAAAACCATCGAAATGGACCAATGGGGTGAATAGGAATCGAGCGTACCTACGATTTCCTCTTCGCAAACTTCGGTGTTAGAGACACGATAACGATAACCAACTGGACCGAAACGGAGGTTACGAGTTGAAGAAGGTTGTCCAAGCGTTGTAGATTAATTTGACGTTTCTATACAACTGAATACATACAGTCAGGAAATATATGCGACTTTAATCTCAAGAAGAATTTTAGTAAGAAAATACCGAATTTGCGCCAAGCGTAACATAGTTGTTGAAATATAGAGTAACAAAAATTATCACCGTACACGCAGCAAAATAATACGAATTACAGCCGCAAGCGGAAAATATTTTGCTGCCTTTCGCGACCTGCCTTTTCTAAATTTCCTTGTTCGAGATAGTAATTCCGGAACACTGTTTGCGCACAGTGAGGTACAAAGCAGATATTACGTCTGTATAACAGCATTCACGTCCCAAGGCAATGCGTTACCTTGTAAGTAAGCATTACCAATTTTTCATTACTAATATTAATTTTTTTATTAGATTAAATCGAATAATATTTTCCCATAGATAATTGAACCTCATAGCCCGCAAATTCCATAATAATTAATTCGCCATTAAGTTATTAATTTCCATCAAATTCCGACGAATGAATCTAAATAGCAGAAGGGAGGGAGTTCTCCTGGCTCATATATGAATCACGAGATCACGAACATGCTAAACTTTCGATGCAAAGTTATGCCCTTTGAAGGTTTATCTTGTTATCAAATTTATTAACAGCTGAGATACGCTTCTACGTTTATAGGAAGGTTTCACGCGACCGAATAACATTGGATATTCTCCCACGTTTCCTTTGGATACTCGAACGATTAAAGCAGCTTCTGACGAGACAAGATCCTTCGTCTAATTTCCCGTACGATTCTCATCCGTAAGAGATGGACTTCTTCGTAGAGTGGTCTTTATTCGTTGTCTAAGGATATTCTCACGGCCTGTCCTTGACACTCGATTTCAGCGTGCTTGAAATATCATACTCTACTTTCCCTTAATCCTTCCCACAGTAATACGTTCTAACGATAGTTCCCACGCTATCCCGATTTCTATTTCACACGTTTACTGCTCGTAAGTATCCGAACACTCTGGCCGATTCTTGCTAACAAAACGTGAATTTTCCCAAA